CTATGTCACCTGTTTTCACAAGCTGAATGCTGTGCCACGTGTGATTTTGCACTTGTGCATATCTATGCACAAGTATATGGGTCCAATTCTGCTGCTGATAAGAAGATTGAGCTGCCATCATCTCCTGACTATGATCATCACACATGTGGTGAGAAGAAAGTTGTACATGCTTCCAAAATGGTCTTGACAATGCTGCAAAATCTTTACCTTCCCTTATTTGCTAAATTCTGTGGCTCAGTGCCACAGTGATGTTTTATCCTTGGGCTGCTTACTTGAGCAGCAGAGGAGCACTTGATCGCATGGTAGCTGTAGCCGTATCCTTCTCCAGTGTGCTGCAGTGACTGATCCGGGCCCCAAGGCCTGGTATGTCTATTCCTGGCATGAAGAGCAGGGAGACATCCTCTGGTGATGGTGGACTGAGGCAGTAGGACTGCAAGACCGGTTGCACGATTTGCATGTGTTCATGGTGTGTATGGCTAGGAGTCTGTGGTAGTGTTGTGTATAGCAGACTATAGAGTCTGGATGCTGAAATATACTTAACAGTTTAGTATTTTAATCTGAAATGAATTCAAATTGAATCATTTAACCCTTAATTAGGACAATGTTTTCCTCTCAAAGTCAAACACATTAGTCACTTGACTGTTGAAAAGACAGTCCCATTTGTTTTAGCAATGACTGCTGTAGGTGGCCATGTAGAGTTGTTTTTTTCTTACTGAAGTAACTTTCACCACTCTCTAAGGCACTCATCAATTTTAGCTTAAGGAAACTCATTTTTACCCAGTAATGAGGACAGCTGCAGTCCTGAAACTCTTACCAGCAGGTAACTTCAGTGAAGCCAATGTGGCTCGCACTCATGCTGAAGAGGTAGAAGTCATTCCAAATACAGTTGTAAAATAATACTTGTGGTTGGAGTAGTGCAGGAGTTACCACTGCCAGTAAGTGTTGAGCAGTGAGGGTCCCTGGGGACAAATTCCCACTGCCCCCTGCATGGGGAGGGTAGCGAGACTGGGGCTGCAGGAGAGAAGTCTTCTCCCAGTCCAGTGTCCCCATTTCTGCTTCCCTGGAGGTTTGTTGACTTTGAATGCTTCATATGGAATACGTGCAAATGCAAGATATTATTTTAGTGTTTTTGTTTGTTTGTTTGTTTGTTTTTAATATATACACTAACGTATTAGTAATGTTGGTACTTTCAGCAACTACAGAAACAGGTAATAGCATTCTTATCTTTTGTGCAAAAGCACATGGAACTGAGGAAAAAAGAATCCTTGGCTTCTGAAAGAAAATGTTAACAAAATATGCTTCTCAGAGGTGTTCCCATGCTGAAATTACACATTCAGTGAACACTTTGTGTGCTAGTGCTTTTATCTTCGACCTGACTGAAGCAGAAGCTGTGGTGTTCGCCTTAAAAAGACAAGCTTTCTTCTGTCAGTTCATGTAATCCATTTTTTTCTGACATAAGAAAGCAGGAAAGACAGTTAAAGAGTTCTTTTTCTCTTTTTTTCTTATCAGAAATAAGAAATTAAGAAATTATTAAGAAAAGAATAATAGCACTAAATGCATTCGGATGATTTCTTGTTTGCACTCCCGTTCCAAGCTTCAATTTCGAGTATAATTGCCTTTTTTTTTCTTTTTTTTTTTTTTTCCTCCTTTGGGCTGCAGTGCTGAATAATCTTAAATTGCTCTGACAGAGACAGTAAGTGCGAGACAGCCTGAGGGGAAGCTGTGAGATCAGGATGTCCTTGCTAGGATGTGGTGGGACAGCAGGGAACCAGCAGTGCATCTCCATCACCAAATGCTGTGGTGGCAGTAGGGAAACAGGGATGTGTTCCTCTGGAAAAGCAGCAGCCTGATCTGGCTCCTGCTTCTTCCTCTCTATTGCCCCACACAAGCACCACCTTTTCTTAAATAGAGTCTATTGTTTTTCATGGAATCATGGAAAGGTTTGGGTTGGAAGGAACCTTAAAGATCAAGATCTAACCCCCTATCATGGGCAAGACTGCCACTCCACCAGATCAGGCTGCCCAGAGCCCTGTCCAACCCAGTCCTGAATGCTACTAGGGTTGTGGCATCCACAAAATATCCAGGCAGCCTGTGCTGCAGTGCCAGTGCCTTACTGCCCTCTAAGGCACTACTTAATGAAGTTTGATTCCTTCCTTTGCCATACTCACCCGCAAAATCTATCAGCTGCTTATGCAAGCTTGTTTATTGATGTTTAATTCACTGTCTTATTAAGAAACATTGGCTTCCAAATATGTCCCAAATAAGCAATCTTACTGTAGTTGCATCCCATAAATGAATGTTCAGGTGTTATGAATAAATTATGCTTAATGAGCATAAGTTGTCTGGTGGGAAGACCAACCACATGGCAAAGGTTCAGCTTTTCCAATCTTTATTTTAAACTAATATAACAAATTATTAAAATGTATGAGATATATATATGTATGTACTCAGAAATGCCTCTTTGTCTTGTATATGTTTTCCATGAATATGAAAATGTCCTTCAAGCTAAGTAGATATGGTTAAGTGAAGCCATTTGTTTTTGATAACTGGCACTGAATTTCCGCGGGAACTTCTGGTGAAGATGGTGTGTAAATCAATACACAGCGGCAGTGTGGTGCTTGTTTCTTTATGTGCTGTCTTGGTTACTGGTACTGGAAAGGGTGGGATTGCTATCCCTTCTTTTTTTGGGGCCAGGAAAGCCCATTCTGGACCAGAAGGCAGTAAAATATTCAGAAGCTCCTCTGTCAGCAGGAGGGATAATAGAGACAAATAGGTGTGACCTGTTTATCATGGGGCAGTAGTTAAGAAAGGATGAGAGCTGAGTTTTAGGACTGCAACATCTGCACCAATAAACCAAAAAAAGCCAATTCTCTGCTGTATTTTCTCCTAGTGGAGGTGTTTAAGAGGAGATGTTGAATTCTCCTTTATTTTCCAAAAGTTAAACAAGCCAAAATCTCCAAAAAAGCCTCACAGCCTGGGATGAGGCGGAAACAAAAGCAGCCCCAGCTGCAGAAGGTCAGGCTGTGCTGAATCCTACAGTTTGGCATGAGGGTCTGCAAGCTTTGCTGCAGAAGCACTTTTAGCAACTCGGCTTTCACAAGTGGCCTGGTGGCACTGTGCACCAGAGGCTCAACCTGGGGATTATTTCATTAAGGCTTGCAGGGGGCATTGTAAAGTGGGAGATGACTTTCTCAGCTGTTTTGTTAGCATGGCATGGGAGGCAGCAGCTGCAGCCAAGCAGCCTCTATTTGCAAGGGCTTCGAAGTGCTGGAGGGTGGCTGAGATTAGCACTTTCCTGTGAAACATTTCTTACATCTCCAGACCGGCTCAGTGCTGTGCCAGGAAGTTTTTCTTTGTTGAGATGTTTCAAGGCGGAATGTGCAGCTGTGTGAGGTTTTGGTTTCCCTCTGCTTTCCAGTGTGTTTCACTCAGGTGTTTGGTGCCCAAAGCTAATGAACCAGAAATTCATGTAGGAAACGATTATAGATGGTATTGTGTGAACTGAATGGCCAGTACTGGAGCTTCCCTCTACTCCATCTCTTATGAAAGTGTTGTAATTATTTTTGATTACCACAGTCTGCTCATCCAAACTTATTTTTCTGTTTGGGCGCTGCATGCATGAATGGACAGGACCACATCATCTTGTATGTTGTTTTTCATCTAACATTTGTGAATCAACTCACCTCCGTAAGCAAAAATGAGAAATGTGAGCCTGCGTTGGTTCATGCTAAGACTGGTGAACCTATTCTTTTGGTTTGAAGTAGCTTTTAAATCAATGACAAGTCCAGAACCATTTTAGTTATCCTTGACTGTCTGGGCTCCATATACACACACACAAAAAAGGTTGTGTTTTAGATTGTGTAGCTCTTTTTTATTATTATTATTTTAACATTATAGGAGAATGTATTGGGGTTTCCTAAGGTTGTTAGTAATGTGTGTTAAATGAAAGCAATAGGTGAACCTGTTTTGAGATGCAATCTCTTCTGTTTTGTTGTCTGTGTGCTGCTGTAGTACAGCTGTTGTGTAGTTACGGTTACAGTCTTATTGGTGTGTCAGCCAGAATGACGATACTGGGTATATTCCGTTTGGAGAAGGATGCGTGCCTTGGAGAGAAACTACAGCTGAGCTGCAGAGTCTGAGTGTTATCTGGTTTTGGTTTAATTTTTTTCAATTTTTAGATGGTGAGATCATCTTACTGGAAAGAAGTCAACCATGTTATTTAATTGCATGAGTTTTTCATAAAAAGATATTTACTTGATCGTTCTTTTCTGTAATTTGCTTCAAAGACCATTTTCATCTGATGTAAATGTGCCTTTGAATCAGTCTGAAATGCAACAGGAACCAAAACAGAAAGGATGAGCAAATGTTGGTGAAATGCCACCATCAAGACTTGGTCAGAAGCAGATTCTGTGGGCTGCAGCACCATCCCTGGAGGACTGTGTTAACACAAAAAGCATCCTCACAGTACATATCCTACAAATTTCTTGTAGTCAGTATCAGAGGCAGCTCATAGAGTCTGATGTGTAGGCCTTCAGTAATGGAATAGATCTTTCACTATTCAGGTTGTTTTTTTGATTTTGGATGGCTTAGTCACACTGAACTGAATAGCTTACAATTAGCATTCCCTTGTAAACAAATCCCAGCAACAGTAAGTGGATAAAGTTAGTTTCTTATGCAATTTAGGGACCATGTTCTGGTAAACAAACCATAAGCTAAGAAAAATAAGTTCTTGTAACGCAGTGTAGAAAATGTTTCCTCTTGCAATATACTGTTCTGCTATTCAAGCAAAACAATATAAATCGAAGCTGATTCATGAAGGACTTCATTCTACTAAGAAGTTAATTTCTGTTAGTTTTCTCATGAGAAAACTGTGGGTTTTAGATTGTAAACACTCAAAAATATGATCTATATATGAAAGATTCCAGAACAATTAAAAGATCACTTGTTAAAATGGAAGAGCTGTCCGTGAAATTTAAAATTTCATTCTTTTCATTTTGCAGCTTGTCGACCTGGGTTCTATAAAGCTTCTGCTGGCAATGTGAAGTGTGCCAAATGCCCACCTCACAGCTCCACCTATGAAGATGCATCTCTGAACTGCAGGTGTGAAAAGAATTACTTTCGCTCTGAGAAAGACCCTCCATCCATGGCTTGCACCAGTGAGTAGCATCATTGTGCTTGGGGCTGTCGTTTTTTGCTCTTCCATCTGTATCTGAGCAGCTTGCTTGCTTCCTCCCATGTTCCATTTCAGTCAGCCATCCATTGCCTGCCATGTTTTCATACATGTTGGACAGGCTACCAGAAATTATTGGGCTGGATTTGTGTCATTTTCTTTTCATTTTCTCCAAGTTCTCTGTCAGAGTTGAGAAGGAGAGCTGAGACTTTTAAATTCATACCAATATTTTCATCAAAATCCAAGAGCAGTTATCAGTAGCTGTCCTACAGAACAACTCTTGAAGAGCGACATTCCGTCCTGAACTATGCCCTCAGAGTACTAACTGTTTAGAGCAAAATGTGGTTCTTGATGCTCTAGTTCTGTAGCCTAGTAAAATATTTCAGAATTCTTTATAGGAAGTAACTAGAACAGTTTGGTTATTTGTTTTTTTTGTTTGTTTGTTTTTTGCTTTTATATGCTTGTGCCCTTGCTACTCTCATTTTAGAGCAATACAGAAATACCTATTCTTTCCTTTGTAGGACCACCATCTGCTCCAAGAAACGTTATTTCTAACATCAATGAGACATCTGTTATCCTGGACTGGAGCTGGCCTCTTGACACAGGAGGTCGAAAGGATGTCACTTTCAACATCATTTGCAAAAAATGCGGAGGAAGCAGCAAGATATGCGAGCCCTGTAGTGACAACGTACGATTCTTACCCCGTCAGGCTGGCCTCACCAACACCACGGTGACAGTAGTGGACCTTTTGGCACATACCAATTACACTTTTGAGATTGATGCGGTCAATGGGGTATCTGACTTGAGTACACTTTCCAGACAATTTGCTGCTGTCAGCATCACGACTAATCAGGCTGGTGAGTCTCCTCCTGATTACCCTTTCTTTGTTCAGAACTACTGAGATGTATGTACCTTTGTCTCTACTCCCTCTTTTACGGTAGTTACTCAGAATGCTCATATGCTAGGGTAACTAATTGACTTGAATGTGCTAGTAAAAGTAAAAGCAGAAACAAACTCAGCATGTGCTGCTGTCAAAGGACCTGGCAGCATAGCTGTTATGATTAACTCCCAGTCCCCAGTTAATAGTCCCTAATAGCAGAGTCATATGATTCCGTAGCCGGAATGTGTTTTATTAATAAAACCAGATTTTAATAAAACAATCAATTCAATTAATCTCTAACATAAATTACGGTAGTAATCTTAGTGATTAATTTTGATTAAATAGAAGTGGAAAAAAAAAAAGCTTTGATATTAGGCACATCAAAAGCTAACATTAAATTAGAGAGGCTTAAAACATTGCTTTTTATTATTATTATTTTTATCCTTTGCAAGTTGTCTCACCAATTCTGAACCACTGCCAACACAATGGGGGGTGTGGAGCTGAATACCAAATTAGGTCCCAGTCTCTTGGATGGTAATGTGCAAAGGGATTGCTCTGCTTCTGTGAGACTGATTACAGTCATCTAGGCCCTGCACAAGCACAGCAGTATGCCCTGACTGTCAGATCAGAGCTTTTGTCACTGCTGCATTGTTCTACCATTTGTGTCTCATTTGTCAAGGTCTCATCTAAAAGTTGTGAAGAATCTAGACTCTTCTCTAGCATTTGTTTAGGTGCCAAGACTGGAGAAATGTTTGCCAGAAAAGGGAAAAACTAAATCCTTAATTTTCAGTGGTCCTACTCCTGCTGCTCATAATCGGGATGCTTTGGACTAAGAGCACGTGTGTATGCAGTAGGACTGCTTCCACCTCCTTGCATCCCACACCACATCTCAAAAATACCTACATGTCTTCCTCAGAGCACAAACCAAGTTAATATAATTCTAGGTAGACATTCTACTGGTAAGCTAAGTTATTGCAATGTTTTTCACTGTAGAGGTTATGTCTCTTCTCAGATCACAGATTTGCTTTGGTGGGAGGCATAGAAATGTGAGAACAGATGGTTTTCTGACAGCAGTCAGTATATTTGCAAATGCTCTGAAGAACTGTCTAACTATGCAGTAGGCAGATAGAGGTGGATCTGCTCAATAGGAATGTCTTCTTGTGATCCCTTTCTCATCTAGGTATTGACTTCAGCTCTGAAACATGCTTTTTATGTTCCTTCCAAGTAAACTGCTACTGTTGTATTTACATTTTTGAGATATTTCTGTCAGTGATTTGAGCAGCCTTTGTTTAGATGCTCCCTTTTCTTCTGACTTTTATATCAGAGATATTTTGTTTCAGTCTGTTCATCACTGTAGCAGCTGGAAATCACCTGGGGATGTTCTATTAAATGAATTCTGTAGGATCAGTGAAAGGTATTTCTTTGCAAAGGTCTTCTGCTTTGCAAGGTGCTTCCCCAGGACCCAGAGCTGGCTGCCTTTGCAACCTTTGCAACAGGATGCAAGGAGGATTTTGATTTTGTTTTGGAACACATGACACTTGTGACATGGTTGTCAGGGTCAATGCCTTTCTGGAAAGAGCAATTTTTTTTAATGTAACTTACAGACTGCTTAAGCAGTTTGCTTATTTATTTTCTACTTTTATGTACTGTTACATTATGTAACAGTGTAAGTGATGTGACTTATTATATGTTTAATTGTTCTGTCTCTTGATCATGCTGGTTGATTTACTTAGTCAGATTTCCCTTTGAAGTTATGTATGTTGCTAAAACTATCTTAAATATTCTTATCAGTTATCTTAAGCATGGTTACAAGAAAGCAATTTCTCTAGTGTTCCCTTCCTGTTTAGATCATAAAAAGTACACATAAAGAGCATACTTTCTGTTCATGTCATACAGAAGAGCCAGGAAGGGGGTGAGAAGGTCTGAAGATCTTACATGACATTTTATTATATATTTAACTATGGGGGCATTTCAAAAGCATTAATTAAAGCATTGTTGAGTTGGATCTGAAAGAGATCAGAAGAGCCAAAAGCCAGTCACAACTCTAATGCTATTATTTGTATTGTTTGACTTCAGGTACATGCCTTCAAGAATTGAGGCACTTACCAGTCAAATGGAACTTTAGTTACATAACTAAACTGTGCTAAACTTAAGATATACTGCACTGGGAGTTGTTGGGGGGGGGGGTATCCCTTGTGGTTATGCATTTCCATATGGCCAGGCAGATCCTGGGGACAGAGCCACTGGCAAGCCCACAGAAGGAACAGTGTTAGTAGAATAGGAATTCAGAAGAAAAGATTAAGTACAGAAGGTCCATAACACCTGGATCTTTGCTCTGGGGTCTCCTGAATCCAGACACTTTCTCTTTTGCCAGCAATAATTTGAGAGCTCTCTGTCCTTCCAATAGACGTGGTGAAGTAGTAGTACTCATCCTGGACATTTAATATCCATGTGTTTCTCTTATCCACTGTCAGGGTCCATCCCAGCCTGGAGAAAAATATTTTGCAAAGTGTTTTTCACTCTCATTAAAAAAAAAAAAAAAAAAAAAAAAAAAGCAAAAACACTGTTGTATGAGTGCATGAGTTTCCAAGAGCTTGAGGCAGGACTGCACAATCTTTTTGATTTTCTAATGATAAAAATGAGATGTTTGTGGTGGTTATCTTGGTAGCAAAAAAAAAAACAAAAAAACATCAGTTGTATTGTGTTTGCTGGGACTCTGAGTCACAAAGTCCTGCTGAAAAGAAAACAAACCTTCCTCTCCATGTTTCACATCACACGCATGAGCATTTCTGCCTATGCATCCGTCTCCAGTCAAATATATCAGAACATGCATTGTACAAACCTTCTTTTATATGGCAGCTGGGAGATTTGCCAGAGTGCATTAAAATAAATTCAGCTGATACGTTAGTCAGTCAGTCAGTTTGCACAGCAGCTCCATTCTTAAATGTAAACACATCATATACACACATGCAGACACATATTTGTAATTAGCATAGACTTGTATATACACACACACACAAAGAGCCACTTTAGATGCTGCTGAAAAAAACAGGGATGCCTGCACAATGACTCTGAGCTCTAGAATCTCTAACTGAAAACCGTAATAACATTTTAGTGGAGAGTTTTGAAAGCTGATATAGAAGTAAAGGAAAAATGTGCTTTGTTGTCAGTTGTAAAGTTTGAAACATCCAGACTGCGTTTATTGAAAATTCAAGGAAGATATTACATTTTAAACTACAAAACTGGTGTGAAGCCAAGATCCAGCCCCATGCATTAACAGAAGTTCAGAATCATTTTGGGAAATAGATTGTGCTTTTTAATTCCAACTGTCTGTCATAAGTTTTACTCTGCTTTTATTGCACTGTTTTCCCAACCTTCCAGTGAAGATGAGTAAGAAGGCATATCTGGAAAAAACAGCAACAAAGGCCTTTTGCAAAATCTGACTAGACTGATGTAACACTGGTATTTTTCTGATGCATCTTTCTGTTCATGGTATGGAAATAAGAGAAAGGGCACATATTTCTGTTTAATTTAGCTTGTAGATCATCCTACTTGATTGCAGTGTAATGTATGCCTTCAGTTGCCGCTTGATACGGCATCCTCCAAATTATTTTGAAGCATTCTGAGGCTTTCACATTATGTCAGTTGTTTTGCACCAACACAGATGCCATCTCCTAATAACACCAATCAGCCTCATTTAGATAGGGTCAGTGATGACTATGGGAGATTGTCTGGAGTTCAGTGTCCCTCGAAGCGGTGAGTTAATAGTGAATGTGTCAAGCAGAGTGACTGACACCTGTGGCACACTGCCTGGCTTGCGAATGAAGTGATCAGATGTCTGTGCATAGATGTTCTAGCTTGACTGGGTTTTCTGACCACAGTTTGTGCTTTTTTAAATGATTTTTTGTTGTAGCTTTTTTAATATGTAAAACCATATTACATATTGGTAATATGTAATTACCAATGGTGGCTTTCTTGCAGCTTTAAAAAGAACACAAAAGAAAAAGTGATTCAGCCCAGGTCAGAACATTTCTATATTTACTTTGGGCTGCTGCAAGCACAGAAGTCTCACCAAAGGAGCTGTAGGCTGCTATGAGTTCTTCCCTCAGTCTCTTCTTCTCTGGGCTGTACAGACCAAGAGACCTCAGCTGCTCCTCAGAGATCTTGCCCTCCAGACTTTTCACCGTCTTTGCAGCCTCCCTTTAGATGCTCTCTGATAGTTTGATGTCCTTCTTACGTTGTGGTGCCCAAACCTGCACACAGTGCTTGAGATGAGGCTGCACCCGCACTGAGCATAGTGGGACAATCCCTTCCCAGAACTAGGTATGTAGGGTGTAGAACTCACTCCAGGAAAAGACTAAGATTTGGTAGGGACAGCATAGTCATGCTAGTGGGTAATTAGTAGGTTATCCAATGCAATGTACGTCTGTTGTGTCAGCAATATGTCTATGCTGAATATATTTTGTTGATACTGCCTGAGAAAGTAACATTTTTTCTTCTGTAAGACTGTTTTTATGACACCATACAATGTCATATAGTTTGTAGGTATGACTCAGGAATACTGAGCAAAATGTAACCAAAGATTTAATTGACTTAACTGAATTTTAAATAGACATACTCTCTGCAGTGACCTTTGCAGTCTAGAGGAGACAAGGAAGACTTTCAAAACATGTAGATATCTGCCCTGATAGCAGATGCTAATCCTAATACTTAAGATGTCAGACACGTCTTAAGTAGACTTTACTATCCCACTGCTATTCCAGTGCACACAGTACTGTGCCCATTCCTGTAGCTGATTGCCTCTTTCATCTGAAGAGGAATAACCCTATGCACCAGTATATGCTGGAGACCAGTGGGCTGGAAAGTAGCTTTCCAGAAAAGGCCCTGAAGATACTCATAGACAGTAGGAAGAGCATTGTCAGTAGTTTTGGGGCTTGATTCTTGCCCTCTACTCAGCCTGGTAAAGCCACATATGGT